GTCCACCCCATTACCCCGAGGCGCGGTATATTCCACTGTAAATAGGCATGATTGGCGATGAAGAAAATACCGGCATCTGTAGGTAAAGGCACTATGGACTAGAGGGGTTAGAAAAGTCCAATTGTGGTGGCATTGGAAAGACGTTCAAGTAGTGAAGGAGGAGCGATTGCGACAAGACTGGGGTTGTGAGATGGAGGAGCGGGAGAGAAGGAACGGAAGGAATCAGTGTCCATTGAAAGGTTTCGTTCTGGCACTATAATTCTTGAAATGGCTTCAAGTGTTTCTGAATTCAATGATGTATGGGAGACCATTATTGGAGATAGAAAGAGGCGGGTGATAAAGATTGGGACAGTAATGGGACTGTCCCAAAGTAGAGGGGGTGGATGAGTGTAAGGGACTGGGATGAAGTTGTGGGGGGGGACAGAATAGAGGCAGCAAGAAACCTGGGAGGTGCAGAAGAAGGGAGAAATCTTGGGAGGGGACGGGGGTTGGAAGGCTAGTTACGAGGAGGCGGGTGAATCTCCCCCCTGGTACTAGAGCCAGCGAGGGGCACGCAACAAGGTACAGAGACTGGAAGGTAAAGTGTGGGGTGGAAGAAGGGGAAGGAGGGGCAAAGAAGATTTGCGCAATGTGCTTTTTTGGACTTCTGGAAGTTCGAGGGGCGATTGGGAATTAGGTGTCGTACGAGGTCTTGTCGATACTGGGCTTGTAGGAGGACGCGAAGATGTGCAGAACAGACTGAGTTGTAGTCGGGGACCGTCAGAGCCAAGGACAAGCAAAAGAATTAGATGCCGGATTGGCTATGGGAGTGGTAACAACAGAGGAGGCTGCAGAGATGGGACCAGAAGTGGGGGGTGCTTGGAAACACGAGATAAGAAACACTGGGGTAGTCTCCCTTGGAGGCGGAGATGGTAAACTGCCATAGCATAAGGGGAGACATGCCTCTTTGAGGAACGGCTTTTCACGTTCATTTACGTAGACCTGACAACGGCGGGGGTGAGTAGAAGGGTGAGCTTCATTCCAAATTAAGCCAACATGGCGGTTTGCTGCAAGTGTATTAGAATGGTCGTCGGCCCACAGACTGGGCATTCAACTAGATCTGCAATATTTGTGTTGAGACAAACAACGCCAGCAATTTCTACATTGCTTGAGGTTGTTAGGTATCAACCTTTGTACTTGTAACCGATGTCCGCGACATATACAGGGACAGGAGTTCTCAGTGTCCTAAAAAGTTAAACGAGCCTCATTGCAAGGTACGTCTCGCCCCGGGCGAGAAGGGACATACGTTGTCTACTTTGAGGATTGGGAGAGCCTGGGTTCCAGCTTGTTCAAAAAATGTCATTGCACATGACTGGAAATTCTGTTGGACTATGGTATGGGCAGAACCAGAATGACAGTACATTACAAGAATTTGAGAGGAAAGAATGTTATTCATGTGATTAGGAGTCGTATCGCTTTTCGAAAGGAGAGAAAGATCATGAGCTTGTGGTAGCATTCTGGGACAGTGACGCTGTGGTACAGCTCTTGCAAGCATGAAATGAAATATTCTCTACAACATGGCGCAGGAGAGAGCTTGCCACTCCTATGGTCAGAAAGGTAGGCAGAATAGAAGTCGGTCTTAAAGTAAAAGAATTTAGTCCAGTGTGTTGAGTCCGATGAAAACTGAGCGTGGAGAGGGGAGTGCGAAGTGCTTGACGTGTCGGTCTTTTCCGAGTAGAATGGGAAGGTAACGAAGGGGAGCATCATCAGGAGATTGACGCTGGCGTTTAGGAGTAGGGACCGGAGTTGGTCGGCATAGCAAAAAAACCATTGGGGGGGCACATTCGAATATTGCCGCTACGTAGAGGGAAGAAGCCGGAAGCATAGTCAAAGGAGAGCGAGTTCAGTGGAGTAAAATAAAGTTTGGATGTAAAAAGGGGGTTATAACAAGTGGTAGCACCTGGAGAAGAGAGAAGTGTAGAGGAGAGAGAGAGATTTTGGGAAATGTTGAGTGAATGCGTGGGGAGTTTTAAATCAATTTGTGAGAGTAAGGGTGGTTGGGGATTTCAATGCTAAAGGGGTAAAAATGTTATGGAGGGAGTAGTAGGTAAATTTGGGGTGCCAGGGGTAAAGGGTAAAGGGGGACCTTTAATTGAGCTATGTGTAGAAAAAAATTTGGTAATAAGTAATACATATTTTATGAAAAAGAGGATAAATAAATATACCAAGGGTATGATGTAGCACTAATGAAAGTAGTTATTAGATTATGTATTGGTGGATAAAAGGTTGAGGGGTAGGCTCCGGGATGTACATGTTTATAGAGGGGCAACTGATATATCGGATCATTATTTAGTTGAAGCTACAGTTAGAGTAAGAGGTAATGGGAAAAGAGGAAGGTGGCAAAAACAAGTAAAGGGGGTGAAAGTGAAATAAACTAAGGGGGGAGGAAGTTCGGGTGAGATATAAGCGACTATTGGCAGAAAGGTGGGCTAGTGCAAAGATGAGTAGTGGGGGGTTGAAGAGGGTTGGAATAGTTTTAAAAATGCAGTATTAGAAGTGGGGCAGAAGTTTGGGGTTATAGGAGGGTGGGGGCGGGAGGAAAGAGGAGTGATTGGGGAATGATGAAGTAAAGGGTGTGATAAAAAGAAAAAGGTAGCTTATAGAGGTTTTTACAAAGCAGAAGTGTTATAAGAAGAGCAGAGAATATGGGAGATAAAAGAAAGGTAAAGAGAGTGGTGAGAGAGTGCAAAAGGAGAGCAGATGATAGAGTGGAGAGGAAACTGTCAAAAATTTTAATGAAAATAAGAAAAAATTTTTGGGAGTGAGTTAAACAATTTTTAAGAAAGCTTGGGGAAAATATGGATTTGTCAGTTAAAAACAAGTAGGGGAGTTAGTAGATGGGGAGATGGAGGTATTGGGTAGATGGTGAGAATATTTTGAGGAACTTTTAAATGTTAAGGAAGAAACAGAGGCATAATTTCATCCCACTGGTCGGGGAGGTATACCATCTTTTAGGAGTGAAGAAAGCAGAATGTAAGTGGGGGGAGGTACGTGAGGCATTACGTAAAATAAAAGGGGGGTAAAGCACTGGAACTGATGGGATCATGACAGAAAATGTTAAAAGCAGGGGGGGGGATATAGTGTTGGAGTGGTTGGTACTTTTGTTTAATAAATGTATGAAAAGAGGAAGGTACCTAGGGATTGGCGAGACCCATGTATATCCCTTTATAAAAAGGGGAAAGGGGACAAAAGAAAACTGTAAAAATTATAGAGGAATAAGCTTACTGAGTATACCAGGAAAAGTGTACGGTAGGGTTATAATTGAACGAATTAGGGGTAAACAGAATGTAGGATTGCGGATGAGCAAGGAGGTTTCAGAGGGGGTAGGGGATGTGTAGATCAGGTGTTCCCCATTGAAGCATAATTGAACAGTAATTTAGATAAAGATAGGGAAGTTTTTATTGCATTTTATGGATTTAGAAAAGGCAAAATGATAGAGTGGATAGAGGAGCAATGTGGCAGATGTTGCAAGTATATGGAATAGGGGGTAAGTTATTAAATGCTGTAAAGAGTTTTTATGAGGATAGTGGGGGCTCAGGTTAGGGTGTGTAGAAGAGAGGAGACTACTTCCCGGTAAAATAGGTCTTAGACAGGGATGTGTAATGTCACCATGGTTTTTTAATATATTTATAGATGGGGTTGTAAAGGAAGTAAATGCTAGGGTGTTTGGGAGAGGGTGGGATTAAATTATGGGGAACAAATTCAAATGGGAATTGGCACAGTTACTTTTTGCTGATGATACTGTGCTTATGGGAGATTCTAAAGAAAAATTGGGAAAGGTTAGTGGATAGTTTGGGAATGGTGTAAAGGTAGAAAGTTGAAAATGAACATAAAAAAAAGAGTAAGGTGATGAGGTGTCAAATGATTTTAGATAAAGAAAAATTGGATACAAATGGGAGGAGGAGTATGGAAGAAGTAATGTTTCAGAAAACTTGGGGGTTGACGTGTCAGCGGATGGATTTATGAAGGATGAGGTTAATCATAGAATTGATGAGGAACAAAGGTGAGTGGTGCGTTAAGGTAAATGTGGAGTCAAAAAAATTATCTTTGGAGGGAAAGAAGGGAATGTATGAAAGTATAGTAGTACCAACACTCTTATATGGGTGTGAAGCTTGGGTGTAAAAGCAGCAGCGAGGAGACGGTGGAGGCAGGGAGATGTCCTGTTTAAGGCAATGTGTGTGTAAATATTATGCAGAAAAAATTTGGAGTGTGGAAAATTTGGAGAAGGTGTGGAGTTAATAAAAGTATTTATCAAGGGCGAAGAGGGGGTTTTTTGAGGTGGTTTGGTCATTTTGAGGAAAAGGGTCAAAGTAGAATACATGGAAACATATAAACTATAGGGGAAGGGGAAGCGGGTAGGGTCGTCCCCAAAGGGGTTGGGGAAGGGGGTAAAGGGGGTTTGTGGGAAAGGGGGTTGGACTTCCAGCAAACGTGCAAAGCGTGTTTAAAAGGGTGAATGGAGACGAATGGTACTTGGGACCTGACGATCTGTTGGGTGTAGCAGGGTAAAATTTTGTGAAGGGACAGGGGAAACCGGTTATTTTCATATAGTCGGACTTGAGTCCTGGAAATGGGAAGTACAATGCCTGCACTTTAAAGGAGGGGTTTGGGATATTGGCAGTTTGGAGGGATATGTTGTGTATCTTTATACGTATATGCTTCTAAACTGTTGTATTCTGAGCACCTCTGCAAAAACAGTGATAATGTGCGAGTGTGGTGAAAGTGTTGAATGATGATGAAAGTATTTTCTTTTTGGGGATTTTCTTTCTTTTTTTGGGTCACCCTGCCTCGGTGGGAGACGGCCGACTTGTTGGGGGGAAAAAAAAAAAAAACATACATTCTTAGCCATTTTGTATCTCAAAGTCTATTAAATTCAATGAACACTAAACTAAATTATTCACAGTATTACAGCATTAGAAAAACTGGAGATGTCCTAATTTGAGGGACAGACAAGAATGCACTAACTTTGGACTTCATTAAAAATATTTCAATCCTTGAACCTGTATCAAGATCAAAAGGCCAAAAATTTTTAAAGAAATTTTTTTTAAAAGAGTGCATTCTTGTCCATCTCCCTCAAGTTTTCTAGTCATTTGCCTTCTTAGACTTACCTTTTTACCAGTGCGCATGTCCCACTTGATGATGCACCCGTCCTCATGGCCAGTCACTACATACTCATCCAAAGGTCCCCAGAGAACTGACAATGCCTTGGCATAGTTAGGAGTCACCTGCGTCTTCATTATTGGCGTTGCTAATGAAATGTACAAATTTTGTCTTAAATAAATTAATACAAGATTTAAAGTTCTAATTCTAGAGTGGAGCTTCACCCCTACTCTCATGCAAATAACTATCCTGAACATACTACCTCAGGAAATACAGCCTCTCCCCCCACTCAACGACGGATTTTCCAAATTCCTAAACCCATTGGGTAAAAAAATTTCTTGCAAAAGTAAGGACCATACTAAAAGGGTAGGGGTTTTGTGTCAAACTATAATTGATATTTTTTAAAATGTCCCCTTTGCACCTTTTAAAAAACATTTCTGGTATATTTAAAAAATTTTTTCATATAGTAGTGTACTTATATTGTAAGAACAGAATGGGGAAATCACTCAACATACATTTTTTGGGGCATGCTTTTGGGCCAGAGAGCCCATCGTAAGCCCAAGGCATTCGTAAACAGAAACATGCTAAGTGAGGAGGGGCCCTTTAATAAAATTCCACTGATGTATTATTTGCATTAACATTTAAAATACATAAGACCCCATACCATGGGGATAATTTCCCAAGGCCCTTTCCACAGATACTGAAACCGCTGATAGTAAAAAACCTTTTAATATTTTTTGGGGGAAATAGCGATTTCAGATTAGGGGGTAATGTAAGAGAGGGGGAGATTATTTCCGGTAAAAGGGGGCCCTTAAAACAGGAATGCGTGATGTCACCATGGGTGTTTAGCATATTTATAAGTATAGGGGGTTTGTAAAAGAAGGGGAAATGCTATTGGTGGGGAAAAGGGGGGGGGGGGTTAAAATATGCAAAAACTAATACAAAAGGGGATTTTGTTACAGTTTCTTTATGTTGAGGGCTTTGTTTTTGGGGAAATTTTCTAAAGAGAATTTTGAAAAGGGTTTGGTCGATGTATTTTGGGGGGGCATGTAAAAAAAAGGAAAATTTTAAAGTAAAACCAGGGGAAAAAGAACAAGGTGAGGGGGGTAAAAATTCAGGAAATGAAAGATTAGTTTATCAGCCCTCAAAGAGGAATTTGGGAGGGGGAAGTAAATGCGTTCAGATATTTGGCATTGAATTTTTTCACCGATAGGGGGGTTAGGAAAGACAACTGAAATATAGAACTGACAAGGGAAAAAAGGGAAAAGTAAGGGGGTATATTTGGGACCAAAACATATGGGTGTGAAAAAATGAGTTGCAATGTTGCAGCAAGGAGGGGGCGGGGGCAGTGGAGATGTGCTGCCCGAAAGCCAAAGTGTGGTGTAAACAACATGCAGAGAATTTGGGGGGGGGGTTTGGGGGGGGGGATTAGGAGGGAATGCAGGGCTACTAAAAAATATTTTCCAAAAAGGGGGAGAGGGTTTGTTGACATGGTTTGGACATTTAGAGAGGGTGGAAACAAAACAGGGTGAATATGAAGGGGGGTAAAAAATCTAGGGGAAGGGGAAAATGGGGGAAAGGGGGGCCCTCCTAGGAAAAAGGGTTTGGGGTGGGGGGGGGGTAAAGGGGGTTTTTGCGTGTGAGGGGCTTGAACATCCAGTAAGCATGCATGAATGTATCAGAAAAGAGCAAGTGGAGTGAATTGGTTTTTGAAACTTGACAAGCTGTTGGAGTGTAAGCAAGGTAAGATTTTGTGAAGGGATTCAGTGAAACAAGTTATTTGGACTTGATTCCTGAAGGTGGGCAGTACAATACCTGCACTCTGCAGGGGGGTGGGGATATTTGTAGTTTGGAGGGGCATCTGACCCGTTGTATTGGGATGTCTCTGACAAGACAGCGATAGAGTGAATGATGATGAAAGTGTTTCTTCTTTTGAGTTACCCTACTTCAGTGGGAAATGGCCTGTGTATTAAAAAATGATGTGCCATATATGCAGGAGTGGATGCCGATCAGAACATGGACTGGGACACCACCTTAACCCTTCCAGGGTCGAGAGGCCCTCTCCTAAACTTGTTCTCAGAGTCGAAAATCTTTTTGGAAAAAAAAAAAAAAAAAAAAAAAAAACTTATGAAATGATAGAGAATCTTTTCTCAATCATAATGACACCAAAATTATGAAATTTGATGGAAAACTTACAGAATTATGCTCTCGCGAAGTTAGCGGTCTCGACGATGTTGACGCATCAGTGATTTTGCCCACTGAGCCCTGTTTTAGGCCAATTTCAGTGTACTTGTCGACAACAATCATATCTATTTCGCTAGAACTCCATTTTTTCTATCAAACGAGTACAAGAAACCACCCATTTACCGATTTCGAGTATCTAATAAAGTGGTCAGAAATTGGCAATTTTACCAATTTCACACAAATTTCAGAAGATGCCAATTTCCAAATAGGGTCCAGCATAAGCAAGACAGACATTCCTGGTACTAAAATAACATTTTCTCTGTTCATTAGTCACATCCCCTGGCCCCTCTTACATCTCTTTTGCTTTCCACTTTGAATTTTTATTCTCACAAAAAATAGAAGATTTACTGTTATGCAGACTACTGCATTAGTGTAGAAATGGTGTAGAAATGGTATACATAATATCAGTGCACTTGTGAAAGAATGTTAGACTCACCAGTTGGATGCTTGGCATGATTTGTTTACTTTTGAAATTTGGTAAAAATCGAACATTTCTGCTACTTTGAGCTCAATTTCAATGTACTTTACATTCCGAAATCAATCAAAATCATCTCAATTTCTGTAATATGTCTTCCATTCGATAAATTGAGACCAGGAAAACTAGAATACAACCATAAATACCATACGAAAATGCACTGCAAAATCCATGTTTTAAACCAAAAACACGGTCGGAGTTTTTTTTTTTTTCTCATTATGCACTATGTGCTGCAGGATTTTTTATACTGTGCACACTGACCACATAGACCCATTCTTTCATATGTAGGCCTACCAGCTTTCTCTCACTAGATTTGAAGGCACTAGAATTTAGGAATTCTAGTGCGTCAATAACCCTGGTGCATAAGCCGTACTAGTACGTCAGAAACCCTGAAAGGGTTAACAGTGTAAAATGAATTCCTGTAAAGCTCCTATTACTGACATGACAAGTTTAGCAGGTGCAGGAATATACAAGATATTTTAATACTTCAATTAGAGACCCAGATTTAAAGAAATTCAAAACTGTCCATTATTTTCAAAGATTGCTGGGTAAATTCAATTTGGATTAAGCAGACTGTACATTAAATCAGAATTACCATTAATTTTACAGGCAATTCCAGATTTAACAAAGTCCATTACATCCTTAATTATCAATAATTGTTGAAGTCTGCTGTGTAAATTTATTTTTGGATACAGCTCGTTTCATCCCTTAAATCCGAAAATTGTTGTCACTGCTACAATCATGGGTTCTTATGTTCTTAACAGATGCCCCCTCCCCCCAGAGTGAGTATGACCCACTGCGGTATGGATATGGGAGGAAATCATGTTTGATCTGAAGCGAGAGATAGTACCTGCATCAAAGCAGATCCCCCTTTAAAGGTTTTCATTTCTCAGTTGACACACTGCCTTTCACACTTCCTCTTTCCTCACCATGCTCTCTCCCTCATATGTCAAAGAAAAAGTAACTTAAAATTCTATCTAAGAATGTCAAATTACAATGTCAAAACATTTATTACAGAAGTCAACTTACCATCAATGTCATTGGGTTCCCGAACATCAATAATATCAAGCTCTGAATTGTGACCCATCATTTTGTCGGTAGTGTATGCAATCATGGTGCCAGAGTATGAGAAACTCACACCACGGACAGAAGTCTTCATCTCTAAGTTTGACAAGCTGGAGCCTGTTTCAACATCCCATATTCTGGAATAAAATGAAGTATTTCACTACATTTGAATGATAATTTTAATAACTTGCTCCTAATTATATTTACCAATTACATAACTTGAATACTTACCAATTTTTAGGTAAATATATTAACCCCAAAGATGGTACAGTTATCCCATTTTCTTTTCCTGCATTATGTTTTTAAATTTTTTTAACATATGTAGTGTTCTTTCACCTTTTGCAAGTGATTGTGGTAATAATTGCTTCTCATCACATTGTTGTAATGCTGCAAAAATGATTTTAATATCAGTCTTTGATAATTACCAGCACCCAACTATTAAAATACAGAGTAAGTGATATACTCCACAACTACTCTGAATAATTCATGTAAATACCCTAAGTCATTTCCTACCAAGGTACTGTAACTCAAAAAAAACAAACATTCACCCTCACTCACTTTACAGAAGTCTTGCCAGAAGTGTGCATATGAGAGTAAGATACGTCATAGGTATTGAGTAAAGACAGGCTACTGCCTTCTTTCCTCAATGAACTGCCGAATACCTCTTAACCTTTAAACGGTCCAAACGTATATATACGTTCACTTGCGCAGCGCCCCGAATATTTTGATAAAAAAAAAAAATTTTTATAGAAAAAAAGAGCACAAGGTACTAGTGGTCCCAGATTTTTTTAATATGGTGCACACCGAGTGTTAAGACCCATTCTATGCTGACCAGGCATCTCAGGGCAATCATGCCATATTTGGAGGCAGGAAAATTAAAACGTATATATACGTTTGGACCGTTTAGGGGTTAATTAAGAGTACATGTACTGGTTCGCTTAGGGACACTTGGTCAAAATACCAACTACACAAAGACTAAAGGGTCTCAAGCATTCTCAGGACAGTTCAGTATTATTTATTAAACCACAACTAAAGTAGAACACACTGTAGATATTTAGATCATTTAATACACCCAATTAAATGGTTTGTCACCTAAGTAAAAATTATCAATAGTATGCCAATAATGGGCTAAAGTAAACAAACTCAAATTTGATATTTACTGCTCATATATGAAATTACACTTTAATAATGATATTTAACACACTAATTCAAGAAATGCTACTGAAAATAATAATAATGAGGGAGACTGGGTTCAACAAGAAAGAGAAGGCAATGGGCTACTACAGAATGAAATACTGAATAGTAACTTGCAAAACTACTAAAACCAGAAGACAACTCCAATTGAGGACTTATATAATGAGATTCCACACAACTACAGCTTCTGACCCAAAGGGATCCTCGCAACAACTCTAAGGTCAGGTCCCAACACCAAAGCTTAATTGGTTTTCCTCCCAGCTCAGCTGCCCACCAAATCTGTCTAAGATCCCTACATATCATATAATGGGGCAATTGCATCACATACCTAGTCTGAGGAACTCTAATTAGTTTCTTAAATGACCTGTCTCACTCCAAGGAGATACAACACTACCAAACTGCAAGAAAACCTAACCTAGATTGCCCGAAATGCTCTGCATAACTAGGGGCTTTCTAGGCTTTCAACATATCTTAAAGTGTCACCCAATTCTGTATCAACAATGTATCATAATGACGATGCCTTAAAAATGCCTTAAAATGACAACAAACACTGTAAAACTAATGTAAATAACTCTTGAAAGAATATAACTAGTATTGCTAAACTTAAAGAGCACAAAAAAAAAAAAAACATTTTAGTCATACTTTTAAAGAATAATGAACACAATTAAAAAAATAACGACGTAGGTAACACTGCTGAGCGACAAAGTTGGACGTAATGACATTCGTTGAACTGAAATTTACTCTAGAAAAGCGGAATAAAGGCGAATTTGACGTAGGCTGAAATAACAAAGCAGGGTATGACTATTTGTATGTGAAGGGCAGCTACACCACCACCTAAAAGCGCACTTTATCCAAGTACGTACTTTACAAAATATTTACTACTTAAAATGCCTCTCCCACTTTTTTTTATATAATCAAAATACTGACTTCACACCCAGACATCACAATCCAAATGGCCATTTGAACTGCAACATCCCTACCCCACTTACCGTTTACTTCCATTAAGTTGCAATAAAGAGTAGAGTATGGTACTGTGAAAAAAACATAATAAATAAATACTTGCCTCATAGTTTGATCTGCTGAACCTGTCACAAACAATGTACTGTCCCATTTGACATCAATGGACCACACTGCACCTGAGTGGCCATCATAGGTGCCCAAACGTTCACCATTGATAGAATACCAGACATTTGGTTTGGGGTCTTTTGATGCCGAGAAGAGCAGGTCCCCTTCTCGGTTAAACTTGATTTGCGTTATCGAACGCTCATGGCCTTGAAGCATTATAGGCTTCTGTAAATTAAATAATAAGTATGAAGACACTGAGTACAAACTCAGAGCATGGAGGTAATGCACTATTAGCTAGTAGTTACATAAACCATATTTCGTGGCTTATTAGACACATGTTTTCTTTCCATAAACTGAAGGTCAGTGACAGGAGCTACAAGTCTGGGGTGTGGGATGGGCCATAGCTCTCCCAGTTACGTCCAATGCCGAGCCATTGAAACTAAAACAAGTCTTATAAGCCGCAAAAAATGGTACATTTTTATTCTAATAGCTATGCTTTGCCTAACTACAAATTTATAATTATTTTATAAAAGGAATAAAATTTATTGCCAAGTCATATATAACAATCAGGTAAAAGAATATAGCACATTCCATAAACATAAGAACATCAGAATGGAAGAGCACTGTAGCAGACCTACTTGTCCATGCTAAGCAGGTCCAACTCTCTCATGTACATGTACAACCGAACTCACATCCTGGTTATACAGAGTATGTTGGTAAGTAAGTTTATTCAGGTATACACAAATACAGTTACACAGATTATCATACATAGCAGCATATGTGTAGAGAACCTAGGATAACCCAAAAAAGTCAGAGTGTGACTTATTTCGATTGGGGTCCTTTAAGATTTATGCCAACAGCATTCGGTGCTCCCACGCAGTCATCCATCCAAGTACGTACTCATCTGGAGTTTACCTGGAGAGGGTGGCGGGGGTCAACGCCCCCATGGCCCAGTCTGAGACCAGGCCTCATGTTGCATCAGGGTCTGTTCAACCAGGCTGTTACTGCTGGCTGCACGCAAACTGACGTACGAACCACAGCCCGGCTGGTCAGGTACCGACTTTAGGTGCTTATCCAGTGCCTTCTTGAAGACAGCCAGAGGTCTATTGGTAATCCCCTTTATGTACGCTGGGAGGTAGTTAAACAGTCTTGGGCCGCTGACACTTATTGTGTTGTGTCTCAGAGTACTTGCGGTGCCCCAGCTTCTCATTGGGGGAATGCTGCATCTCCTGCCGAGTCTTTTGCTTTCATAGGGAGTGATTTTCGTGTGCAAGTTTGGTACTAATCCTTCTGGGATTTTTCAAGTGTACATTATCATGTATATCTCTCACCTGCATTCCAGGGAATACAAATCAAGAGCCTTCAACTGTTCCCAGTAATTTAGGTGCATTATCGTACTTATGTGTGCTGTGAAAGTTCTTTGTACACTCTCCAGGTCAGCAATTTTGCCTGCCTTGAAGGGGGCTGTTAGTGTCCAGCAGTATTCCAGCCTAGAGAGAGCAAGCAATTTGAAGAGAATCATCATGCACTTGGTGTCCCTAGTTTTGAAGGTTCTCATTATGCATCCTACCAAATAAACGTATAACTACTACTATAATTTTTGTGAGCAGTTTGTTGGAAGTTTTGGTAAAACAACTTACTATAACATTTGTGGAGGTTATTATAAATGTTGGTCATATACAGATGCAACTACTGATATAAATTTCAACATTACTCCATAGAACACACAATGAGAGACCAAAGAATACATAGCATCTCATGCAAAAATTTAGCCTATACTTCACTCACTGAGTGAACACTGCAGATTTCAAGATTTTTTAACTATATTTAAGTACAGTAAAAGGCAAAAGATTTATTCATTTTGAAGGGAAACCAGAGGAGATGGAACAGAATTCTTCCTCTGTAAGCCATGCGTGTCGTAAGAGGCGACTAAAATGCCAGGAGCAAGGGGCTAGTAACCCCTTCTGTATAAATTACTAAAGTTAAGAAGAGAAACTTTTGTTTTTCTTTTTGGGCCACCCTGTCTTGGTGGGATATGGCCAGTTTCTTGAAAGATTTAAGTACAGGTACACATATGTACAGTTACACAAATTCAGGTAACTAAAATTTTCATACACAGTACCATATGTGTAAATTCAATAGGATAACCCCCCCCCCACAAAAAAAAATAGTGGCTTATTTTCAATGGGGTCATTAA